GCGGACTGCTTGTTCTTGATCCAAGGAGTAGTATGTTCTGTAATGTTACTATGGTTACATCTTAAATTAGAAGGTGCAATGTTAGTCTTTGAAATGCTGCCATCTATTAAGACTAAGGAGGGGTTACGCTGATGTGAAGATGTGCAGCGTGTGTGTAAAGAGCACTCTAGAATTACTGTGGCCAGTGAAAGCTTGGCTGTTCAGTGAGTTCTGCAAAGCTAGAAGCAGACGCAAGGAGTCAGAAAAGATGTCTACTTACACTAGCCTGTGCATGTGACAACTGTGAACTATGCAAAATGTACTTGTGCAAAACAAAGGTTTGGAATATTTTCTTCAAAAATTAAAAAAACTTCCTATGTGTCATCTTTAGAGGGCATCAGCAGAATCTTGTCTAAGTGGTTTTAAAATAAATCAGACCCTAAGGTTGAGCTGTTAAATAAAGTGCTGTCTTGACAACATTAATATAAGTTTCTCAAATCAATTTAGAGTGGTCGTGATAGTCAGGTGTGTACTGTTTGGTAATTTTCTGCCTGGTGGCCATGAGTCCCGTGAAAGTTAAACTAAATACGTACATCATAGCTGACATGTCAACTGGATGTTCCCATATGGAGCATGCTTTCTGGATACCCCTTGAATACTTTGCAAAGTTTATTCCATTTTATCATAGTAAAATGTAGTATTATTTCAGCTGTAATGTGTTGGAAAACCTTTCAAGTGACAGTTCAAAATGATTAATGGCAACATTTTCAAGGTTGGTTATTTTTGCTTTTAAACTCTGTTTTCTGGAAATGTGTTAATACAGAATGTCATAAATTCTTGGGTTTAATTTTATGTGTTATGAATTATTATGTATATGGCCAGTGGCTATTCTTCTCTTTGCTTCAAAAAGAATACTTCTCCAATAAGTCATTTAGAATCATAGAATCATAGAATGCTTTAAGTTGGAAGGGACCTTGAGAGATCATCGAGCCCAACCCCCCTGCTTAGAGTGGAGAGGACAGGGTTGTAGAATATACTTCGTGATCCCAACATGTTTCTTGACTATCATAACCATGTTTTAAACTGAATGAAAAATAGCAATCTAGAAATGACCACAAGTGTCAGTATTGCCTGCCTTATTTTCCTTAGCAGATTTTCACCATTGCTTAGTTGTGAAACCCAGCTTAGGCTTGCTGCATTTTTTAATAAATGGTCAAGACTTTGCACTCTATTCTAATCATACCCAAGCCATAAACTTAGTGATTTTATTAATCTTCAATTGTCTTAAATTTAAAATAGAAATGCAGCAATATAGATCAATCTGAAATGGTAATAGAACTAGAAAAGGTTTCCAGTTATTCTGAAACATGCATATTTTTGTTTGCTAATGAGTAGTTGATAATTGTTATATCATTCAATAAGGAATATAAGCACATCCCCTAACTTTGCAAAGTTGTGTGAGAGAGAAAAGACCAAGTGATCTTCCCAAGTCAGGAGGGTGCTTCTTATTCTGTCTGCCTTAGGACACACTTCAAGGGGATGTTTTCTAGTTCTAAAGCTTGGGGTTTGTTTTATTAAGCAAACTGGCGTTCTAGGTATCCAACTGGAATTCAGTCCATTCTCTTATCGCAGCTTCCTGTGAGGAACACAGCTTTGGAGTGTTTCAAAATTCACTTGAAAAGCCAAAATACAAAATGGTTTCGGTCTACTTTTCTGTTCTGGTTTTGTGTGTTATGCAAATTTTGCCTATTGGACTACTGTCCAGACACGTTTCTTTCCTCAATAATGTGTTGCTTGCTTTATCACATCTTCTTTTCTGTATTCGGATTTTTCATGTCTTCCCCCAGGCTTTGTATCCAATTATTGCTGATCTCAAGTGCTAAATGCAGGGTTTTTTTCCAGGGGGTGGACAACATAATTTCATTTGTATTGTGCAGCATTTTTGGTTGTGCGGTTCTCCCCTGATGAACTGACAATCCAGTGCCAGCAGTAATATTTTCTGCCTGTCATAAGTGTTCCTTTTGCATTCTGAGAAGAGCAGGGTCTTTATGAAGCTTTGATTCAGCACAGCAGGGGAGAGGCGGCCAACCAGCAGAAATACCAAACGTTCGCAGGCAGTTTAAAGAACAGTTGTAGAAAATAGACTTCTGTTTTTCCCCTTACCTTATGACTTACCTCTAACACCCACCCTCGTTCCCCCAGCATGAGAACTTGAAATGAAAACTTAAATTCGTATAGGAAGTGAGACTTTGGGGAAGAACTGGTGTACTGCATATCAAATCTCTTAAAGCAGGAAGATGGCATCGTATGGGAGTTAGTAGGCCACCAGCTCTCCTGCCTAAGGAGAAAAATGCGTTGTTCCAGCTGTTACCACCTGTCCAGCCCCTTCTCTGTGCCCCATTCCTTCCTGCAACAGGCGCAGAAAGACCCTTTTCCCTTAGGCTATCTTCAGGCTCTTGAGGCATCCAGCACTTCTCTCTCAATGATTTGAAGAGTCTTGGCCCATCAGCCAAGGATTCATCAGCTGGATGCAGACCTCCTGTCCAGCACTTTTCCTTGGACTACTGGATGAGCTATGTAGATTTTTTTTTTGTGATGCTAAATTTTTTTTTCCCTTTGTATATGAATATGGAGGCATTTTGTCAGCCTCAAAAATTCCTGGTTTTGAAGTTGAAATTGGCGAGACAGATGTTTTGTTGATGTTAAATAATGTGAAATTGAAGAGCAAGACTTTCAGAGCTGTCAGAATTTCACACGTTTTGGGGTTGAGACCTGTACTGACTCTTTCCGTTGTCACATTTCCTCGGTAGCTTTAGTACACTTATTCCTACAGCTCCATCGTGTAGGTATCCTCATTTACAGCTAATTCTGTGGGGCATGCAGGGTTTACAACAGAAATAACAAAGGTTTAGCAAGTGTCTTAGATGTCTGAAGCCTTTTCCTCAAGCACAGATGCTTAAACTAGGAAAACCAACAAAATCTGTGGGAAAAAGCCTTTCTCCAGTGATCCAAGAGGTTCTGTCCCAGTAATAAAAGTAAGCAATTTGTGTTCATATCCAACAAAAAACCTGGCTCATAAAATGCTAAATAAGTCCCTTTTAAGAGTAGTTCCCTGCCACCCTTTCTTTGACATGTTGAGGGAACTAAAATTATTCCAAACACCTTGCACACCATCTAGTTTGATACAGCTACCTCAGCTTGGCCAGCCAGTTTCATCTATCTGTTTTTTCCTAATGTTGTTCCATGTTAATGATTCCCTCAACTTGAAGTAGTTTCCAGTCAGTGTATATTAATGAAAAGCTGATTTTGGTATGTGCTGAGTTTTGTCATGTAGTGTGCTTAATACCATTGAACTGATTTCCAGTTATTTCAAAGTTAATTCTGTTTTGTGACAAAAGTCCTTTGGAAGTAAATGTTCATTTCTATATGCTTCTGATGAACAAAGAAATCAAGTTACCATACAAAATGTCTTTGCATACCCTTAGTTGCCAGTCTGTCCTGCAGACTTTCTCTTCCCACTTCTGAAATTCTCATTAAACTTAAATGATAGCATCCCGTTAGTGACTTCCAAGGAAGAAAAAGTGTGCTGTGGAAATCATGCTTTTTGTCTAAGTAACTGTGTTCATAATTCCTTCTGTAATCAGTGTAAGAGTCTAGATTAATTTCGTGAGCCTGAGGATTTTTTTTCAAATAAATTACTAATGTAGAGTCAGAGTCACCAGGACTCCTAGTCCTCAAATACATGATTTAGAGGAAATCCTTAGAGCTCAGTTCGTATTATGTTAATTGACAGAGAATATTGGTTCAGGACTAGAGAATTTTTATTCTTTTGTGCTATCCTAAACTGTATTTCAAACTTAAATTCCAGTTTTTTTATTTTTTGTAGTGTAGTGGCTTCTAACAGAAGAAGAAATCAGAGATGGCTCTCTTGCATCTTGCCCATCTCAAGACATAATATTAAGAATCACCAATGCATACTGTAGGGAGGTATGTGTTTAACAGAAAAAATATTGGATATATTTCATGTAATTATGCTGAATTAATAAAATTTGGCTGAAAATGAAAGATTATATTTTTCTGTAATATAGAGATATATATTCTTGTAACTGTTAACGAGCATCTGCAAAGCTTTGTATCACTGATCCGTTTTACTAAAGTACAGTAAATTTATAGGGAACATCTGGCATCTGGGAAAAAAAAAAACAAAACCACCAAACAAACCCAAAACCAAAAAACCCAACCTCTTAAAAACACACAAAAAACTGTCATCCTCTTACAAAAAAACCCATAAATCCCACAAATCTCATGACCTTGGATGATGGGTTGCACATTGCAGATTATTTTATGTCTTGTCCTATTAAGGATTTGCGTAACTAAGCATTCGTAACTAAGACAAATGCTTTTTCTGTAATTTTTGGTTAATGCATGTTTGTTCTTTACTCATGTGCAAGTATTATGATTTACATTGCAGAAGGAAAATAACTTTTTGGAGACCAAACCTAACCTTTTCTTTTCCTCCCCTCCCTCCCTCCCCCCCCCGGCACCTCTGGATCTCCATCTTACTGTTGTCCTTGGAGTTACTGATGTTGCTGAATATAAAAAGCCCTGTACTTCTGTCAATATCAGTAAGAATCATAATAGTGCAAAAAAGACAACAGTCATTTTCTACTTCTGTTGCATTTCTAGGTAAGCAAGCAAAGCAATAAAATACAATAAAAATTCTTTCTTAATTTAATGGGGCCTGGGTACAATATAAAAAAGGAATCCCTTTTTTTTTTTTTTTTTTTTTGAGAATCTAGGTCACCTCATATGCAGAAGATTTCTTTGCTGTGGGAAAAAAAAAATCTTGTTTTCTACCATTTTTTTTCTTTTTCTTTTTTTTTATTACAATTGACTACACAGTCTGGAACTATGCACCAGTATCTGTACTTTTATGCTGGGTTTGCCTAATGACAAGAAGAGGTTTTTTTTTGCTATGTGTAATTACCTTTCACTTATCTGAGGTGTTCTGGGGTAGCGGAATGGGCAAGGAGGTATGTCAGTAATGTGGCAAACGCTGGATGCAATGGGGAAAGCTAGTGCAGAGCTCTTGAATCTCTGTACTTCTCTCACTAGTGGGTTGGTTGGGACCAATGCCAGATTAAAATTGGATCTGTGTATTCACATAATAATGCACACAATCTAATAAGCCTTGTGGAATGTCGACCATTAGGGAATAGATGCATCAGCCTACTCTGAATGGTCTGGTGGAGTCGGTTCAGGTCCCGTGTGACTAGAGCTAATAAGCTCTGATGACTCTGTGTAGAATTGCTTGCTTGTTCTTGAAACAATGCTGCGGCATACATGAGATGCTTGCAAGATTTATAAATAGTAGCTCCATGCTGTGTGGCAGTGCTGTTTCTGAAGCCCTGCTGGCCTGGGAACTAAACTAGCTGTGTTCCTACAAAGCTGCCCTGAGCTAATGAAATCGCTAAATCTAAGGCAGCTCTGTCATCTCTAATGGAAAATGTGCTACCTAGAATTTTTGATCCCAGTTGATTGAGATCTGATGGCAATAATAAGTTGGTTTTTTTTTTAGAACAGCTTTCATACTGGTAGTGCCTTGTCATTATTTTTATCTAATTTTCAGATGTTTCTCTTCAAACTAGGCACTAGTCAGTGACAAAAATGTCTGTTTGAGAAGATAACGGGTTTTGCTCTTCCTTCAAAATAGGCCTATATTCATTTAACCAAGAATATGACAATGTAGAAGCTGAGAAATAAGGAAGAAATCTGTAGTCTGGCATAAGCTCTTGAATAGTTGGGTTTTCATACATTTTCAAAATGTCTTTTTAGAGGAACAAGAATAAATAGAAATGTGTGAGGTTTTGTACTTACTACCAGCCTCTTGAGCTACATGTAAAATTACTATGCTGCCCTTTCTCAAAAGGTGATGCTGCTATTTTGGTTTGGTGTTTTTATCATAAAAGTAGAGCACTACCAGATTAAGACAAGGAGGTTATTGGATGAGTCTGTGAAATTGAATCTGTTTGTGGCTGGTGGAGCCCTCCTAAGCACTTACAGAAAGTTCCAGGGTGTCATAACAGAGGAATCTTGTTACGCTTTGGGTTTTTTTTTTTCCTCATTGAGATCTTGGCATCGAAAGCCTAACTCTCTTCCAAAACACTGTCTGCTCTTAGTGGCTTACTCATTTTTATTTCCTGCCACCTAAGTGCTCAGTTTTCCAGTGAAGGGATCTTGCTTTGCAACAGATTGCTGTAAAAAAAAAATCTTGTTTATTTTTTATCGCTGATAGTACACTTTTCAAAGGTGAAACAACTATTTGAAGTAGCAGGACAGATGAGAGGGCTGAAGGAGAGCTGAAGGCAGATTTCCTTCAGATAAACTGTGAAATCCACACGATCATTATGGATGACTGATAACTTGCTAACATGTGAGTAGCAGAAATAATAGTTGCAGTGAACTTCACCTGTGTCCCTGCTGATTGGTGTAGTCTGTCATCTTAGGTGTTTATTCACGTGGGAAGTTCTTAAAGATGAATTTATGTGTGTATGCATGTGTGTATGCATACGCATGGGGGGTGCGTCTAGAGAGACGGTGAGAGGCAGCCATTTGAAAACTTCTAAAACCTGTTTTAAAATACACTTTTGAGTCTGCTCGTTTGGTCAGGGGCTTATTTTTTCTGCAGTGATGGATGAAGACTGTATAAAAGTCATAGCATAATAGGAAGATCCTAAAATTTGTAGAGCTTTTGTATGGCCCTTAACCTGTCTTCATCTTTGAATAGAATGGCCCCAGACTGTATGAATGAGACCTTGTCAGTTGACCTCCATTTAAGAACACTGCATTTCCGCACTACCAAAAATACAGCTGTGCCTTAGCCGTTTCAAAGAACAGTCGTATTATAAACCAGATCTCATAATGCATAGATAGAAGCTTGGAGATAGTCTATCTAGTGTATGGATTGTGTATAAAATGGAAAAATAAAAGTTGAATGCTGTCGTCTTAGTCCTTTGAGAAGGGCTTAATTTAATCTTCTCTACTAAAGAGAGAAGAACAATGGGGAATTTAGATATAATGCCAAAGGAAGCTGAAAGTACAGGCGGAAGGCCAAATGGAAAAATTCCTCCTATGTGATACAGCCAAAATTCTTCCTGTATTTTAACTTAATGCATGATGTATTGCCATTACAGTTAGTTTTTGATATAGGCATATAACATCATTGGCTTTTATATTCTACAATAGGGTGGTATGAATGATAGGTTAATTCAGGGTACAAATACCAATAGCAGTTTGCACAGTCTATTTGGTATATAATATTGTAGCAATAATACACAAATTCTGTTGCATGCACGCTAGTGCAAAAAATTTCGAAGGGAATTCTTTCAACCTAAATATTTGTCAAGAAGCACACAGGTAGAAAGCATTGTTGCTATGATGAGAATATGGTATCTATTCTTCTATTATTTGTCTTCAACATGAATCTAAGGGGTGACTAAAATACTTCTGTGTCCCAGGTGACTTTGTTATATGATGGTTAATATTGTGATTCTGTTGTTTGATTCACATACTTCAAAAAGAAATCAAGTAAAACAGCCCTATCAAAAGGCTATATAACTTCTGTCAAAGAGCCAGACTTTTAGAACATGCTTAAATGAAGACAACTGAAAGTCAAACAGTACATTGTCTATTTGCTCTTTGGTTTTAATTTGTTGTAGTGTTTGGAAAATTATTAGGCTTTTTTAATCTTGGAATCTGTTGGATAAGTATAAAGGGTTAACCTAGGAAATATAGAATTTTGGGTTCAGGCAGCTTCCCGGCTGTTTCTGCTGACGTGTACAGTGGTGCAATTTAGCGCTGCATGGTAGTGATGCCTGCAAAATATTTTTACTTTTTAATCTGTTTACATCTGTACCTAGGGAAGGAAACTTCAGGCCTTTTGGAATTACCCAGTTGCACTGAGTGGAAATTTTTTGGAAAAGGAGGCAAGGGGGATAAAAAATGTTTTGGTCTAATTTGAGTGCTCCTTCATAATTGTAAATGAAACCATATTTTAATTAAAACAGAATTTTGTAAATAAAAATCATATTTTAGTTAAAACAGAATTCTGGAATGAGAGTTCTATGATGAAAAGTAAGTAGTACAGTGGATCTCACTAGGAAAGCTGGGGGGAGAGAGAATTGGAGAACAGGACCATAAATGGCATATAACAGTACCAAAAACATTGCATTTTTATTCTGGGTATTTAACTATCATGGTGTGTGTGAAACTTTTACATAATGCAGTCCAAGGAAAAGATCTAGGTAGTCTAGAAGACAGTTTGTCAGAGCTCCTGTGACTGGTATAAGTGGGATGCTATTATTGTAAATTTTGGAAATGCTCAGACTTCAGAATATCATACTGAGAAAGATATGTTAATGATTTTTACTAGTGGTGGGAGCAGCCATTTGAGGATACTGAAGAGTGCAAGTTTTTTTTCTATGATGCATGTTTTACTGTGTTAAATACATAAAGCATGGGAAGCTACAGGCTATGTAATTCCTAAAGTTTTAATGTTAAGATTGAGGCGCTATTAATACACTGCTTATGAACTTTGTGGGTTTGGTTCTTGAAGTTTGTATGTATATTCTTTTGAATCCAAATTTGCCGCTGTGCCCTGAGTTAAAATGTGGGAAAATGCTTCCTAGGATCAATTTATTTTATTGAAATCTGAATGTAAACATTTTGATCCAGTAATAGATGTGTTTTCTTTGAGGTTAAGTCTAGTGAAATCTTTTGTTTTGCTTGATACAAGTGTATGAAATCACCAGGCAGAAAGAAACATTGCAATCAAATGTCAGCTCCAGTCATAATAGTTTTCAAAATAGTACTTTTTCATATGGTACCATATAGCAAGCCTGTACACTGAAAATGTAAGGTATTCTGTGTCTCTTCCAAGTAGTTGGTTTCTCTCAGATTTGGTATTTTTAGTGAAATAAAAGCTTATTTGCAAGATGACCAATAACTTTGTGTTTGGGGGCAGATTTTTGTGTGTCAAATTTCCCAGTTTGTTGTGGTAAAAACCGAATGTAGATCAGTTCCTCTGAACACATTATCAGCCTGTTGACAAAGACTATTATGTTGTTGCATATGACGAAAGGAGATGGGGAACAGAATCTGGGCTGGCAGTAATGCGAGTACATCCCATCCGATCCCCGCCCAGCTAGAGGTGCTTTTATTGCAAAAAGCTTTGTCTGAAGTTTTTGTTGCTGTTTCCATGCGTTTTAACCTTGAATAATGCTGTGTTTATGTGTAGTGCCTGGCAAACATTTCACAGGGGATTTTCTGATTGTACAAACTGTCAATGTAAGGCTCAAATTAGGCATTTGAGAAAGGGGAAATGACTGACTTTGCATTCTTGCCATGGAGAAATGATACCTTTTGTTGCCATTATGATCAAGGGTGCTTGGCCACAGTGTTGAAAAGGAAGCAAAAAAGTCTGTTCACCCATCATCCTCCCGTCACCATCCACCAAAAAACTCTGATTTGATACTTTGTGATTTGATTCATCTTTATGGTACACAACACAGTTTCTTCCTTTCAGTCTTTTTTTTAAATGAGTTAAAGCGATAAGATCTGTAGAGTTAAGAGCAGGACAAAATTTGGCATTTTTGTGAATATGGCCTTTCTCCCGTAATTTTCATTCTTTGATGCAATTTTTTTGTGGTTTTTTAAAATACGGTAATTGAAAACAAGCCTATGAACTTATGTAGCTGGGGCTGGGCAAATGTTTAGAGATAGTATTCTAGTTATCTTGTAAGCAGATTAAAATGTCCAGTCTTCCTAGTTTCAGGGAATTGTGTGGACAACTGCAGCATATGCAAGTCCAGAAATTATAAGACTTTCGTGCTGGACTAAACTCAGAAATTTTTGTGGTAGATTACTGTTTTAACTTGCTTGTCTGTTGTTGTACAGATACCTCTTGTATCTCAGTATTTGTCAATATTTTTATCACCAGCACCCAAGATAGTGAATCTGCTCTGTCTCAATGGAC